TAGCTCTGTCACCCTGTTTCCCTATCTGTAAGAATCCCCAGAAGTCTGACAGCCTCTTTCATTTTGTCCCCTCCTTTGTTGCTCTCAAGGAAAGCTGGCAGCAATTTTGGTTGTATAACATTTTTCTCAAAAAAACATGTGGGTCTCCTATGTATGTCCAGAGAACCACTGATCTAGAAAGAGGAGAGAAGCTATAATCACGTTTCTATAAATAACTAAAAGAATCCATGGAGACTCCGTCCCTGGGTCTACAGTAAACATGCTGATCTGTATTAATGATGCTTGTTTATTGAGCACCTATCACACATACATAGGCATTGCGCTAACATTTTGCATTTGTTAGCTCATACAATACAACACCCCAGCGAGGGGGATATTATTCCATTTCCTAAGATAGAAGGTATGACGGAAGTTAACCAACTTGCTCTGGGTCAAAAGCAGGAAAGTGGCCCTGAGGTTTCACACCCGGCCTCTCCCGCACCAGACGCCTTCTACTCGCCATGCGGCGTCTCCGGGGCCACAGAAGCCACACCTTTGACCTCTCTCCTATTTGCTGACAGGGACTGAGCAGTCACCTTTCTCATTCTCTGATGCCCTGGGATGGAGTTCACCTGGGCCACATCCTGGACTTGCTCATCCTGGACTTCACGTAACTTCTACCAGTACCCTCCACACTGGTATTACTCATGACCCATTAGGGTGTCCTTCTCGGTTCAAGGATGGTGTTCCTGATGGGAAATACAGGTGCAGAGAAGAAAAGCAGCCTAATCCTAATGCAAATTAGGATTTGAAAATTTCTACTTCCACTTTTTCATTCATCAACCCTATTATAACAAATCTGAACTGTGAGCCCTTTTTATCTCCTTTTTACCTTTTCTGATTAACCCAAAAAGCCCTTTTGGTCATCTAATTAATATGCATTACAGAGAAAACTTGGTATAAGAAAAGCAACTTCATATATAGTGGGATTTGGTAGTTTTTTTCTATAATGGGTGGTAAAAATTGCACCAAAAAACTATGAAGCGATGAACGATGGATGTGGACAACAGGGGGTGAGGGTGAGGGCAGGATTGGGGGGATGAGAGGACATTGGGGGGGATAAGGACACATTTATAATATCTTAATAAAGGGGGGAAAAAACTATGAAGCGGCTACCAGAAATCATAAATATGTTAAATCTTGTTTAGCAATTGTAAAGTGGTTGGTATAATATTGTATGATTTCCTGTGTCAAAATTTGGGACTTGGGACTAGTAGAGGCAAAGATATGATCACAATCATCTGATATGAAAAAAAAGTTCAGCAATTCAAACAGTGAAGCTGGCACGGGGCCGAAAGGCGCAAGAAAAGGAGGAACTCGCCCTGAGGCTGCTGCGTGGGAGAGGGAATGCCACAGAGGTGGTAATCCTGGGGTTAGAACCTTCCGCCAGACGAGTGGGTAAAATAGCCATAACTAATCCATAGTTATAAATGTACTACTTAAAATTCAGCCAGATATAAGCCGAGTAGTAGTGAGAATACCAAGATACATTAGTGTTAATTAGGAATGACAGTACTTTTTAAAAAAATCTTTGCTATTTAATTTGATAAAAATTGTTTATCTTGGCTATTTAATTTGACAAATAAGTCATTGCTTGGCTTATTTGAAAAATTAACTGGATTTGTTATACCTTCTATTACAAAAATACTGATTTGAAGGTTTGACATAGCATCCATCAATTTAAAGTTTTTAGACATTATTCCTAATTCTAGATTCATCATCAAGAAACTGTATGACTCTAAATAATTCTTTAACTTTCCAGGAAGGTGTCAGGATATAGAGAATTGTTACTGAGTTTCTGATAGCAGTGCTCTTTTTTTTTTTGCTCATATATGCATATGTTCTATCTGAAAATGTGTATGTGTGCTCGCTACATAAATGTACATGACGCTACAGAAACTAATTCCATTCTCCCTAGTACAGCGGTTCTCAACCTGTGGGTCGCGACCCCTTTGGGGGTCGAACGACCCTTTCACAGGGGTCGCCTAAGACCATCGGAAAACACATATAATTACATATTGTTTTGTAATTAATCACTATGCTTTAATTATGTTCAAGTTGTAACAATGAAATTGGGGTCGCCACAACATGAGGAACTGTATTAAAGAGTCGCTACATTAGGAAGGTTGAGAACCACTGCCCTAGAAGAAGGCAGCAACCGACCACAAGCTGACTGTATTAGTCATTATCCATTAGGTTACGTTCAGTCATTCGGCCAGGACATTGACGTAGGTTTTAGGCCATGATTAGCAGCTTTACTTTATAGAAATTCATTAACCTAAAGTTCCCATGTGTAATCCTCAGCACACTCAGGAACACCAGAGCTCCTTAGGGGAACTATTTTTATATTCTGTGAGGCAGCCGAGCTCAAGGGATTGACTGACTCCCAGCTCTACCACCTACTGACCTCGAGCAACTAACTTTTGTGCCTCAGTTTCCTCATCTGCAAATTAGATAACACTTACCTCACATGTGAGGCTTAAACAGTCATTGTACATAAACTAGCCCAGTGCCTGCGAGGTGAAAGCCCTGGCATATCTGCAGGAGTCTGGAGGTTCTCCTGAAGGCGACGCGCAGAATGACAAACTCAGATTTTAATTGCACAAGCTATCACTATGGAGATAGCGTTGGCAAAGCTGCAGCTAATTGAGGGGGAGGAGGGATTATTTCAGCAAGACTTGAGTGAAGGAAACAAGAGGCAGCTGCAATAACCCAGGCAAGAACTGGTGCAGCTTGAGCTACGTGGCATGTGGTTCTGGGGCTGAGAAGTGAAAAATGCTGAGGAGATACTAAGTGGGATCCACAAACCTACGACTCGGCCGTGGGCGTGGAAGAAAGGACTCAGGCAGCACTCCCAGGCTCCAGGCTTGAGTTACCGTCTCTAAGGCAGGACATGAAAAGGATGAGTTCCGAAACCCCCAGCACCTGCCTACATCCCGAGGAAAGGAACTGCCTACATCCCGAGGAAAGGCGCGGGCTCGGCCCAGGAGGAGCCGGAGTGCAGGTGTGGACTCAGCCGTGGAGAGAGCAGCTGAAGCCAGGGAAGTAGATACAAGATCTGCTCATGTCCCTTTTTCAATAACCAGACAGTCCAAGCTCTTGTGAGCAACAGAGAGAAATCCTCCTGCACCCTGGAAGCTAATCGCCAAGTTTGCTGCAGATGGCGACTTTCAAAGGTAGAAACCGTTCTCTGAGTGATCTGGGTGAACACAAGAGCACGGGTCCCTGGTGCCGCATTCCCCATCACGTCTCAGAACTGCCACGGCTAAGCCCTGCCTGTAGCTCCTGGGGACTTAACTTCCCTGGGGAACTATTGTGGTTATTCAACGTGAAGACCTTGTAGGAAGAATCCCAGTTCTTTCTCTCTGGGGAGATGGGGAGAGCAAGCAACATGGAAGGAAACAGTCACTAAGGAGGAACCAGGAGAAATTAACTTTTAGCCAAATGTATGAACAATTCATGTAAAAAAAAAAAAAACCACACACACACACACACTGGCCAAATTATTACAAAAATTATACATGAGGGCAGTAGCGCTACCCTGGTGTGGCTCCTGTGCACCCCAATCTAGGTGAGGATGCACGACCCACGTCGGCTTGGCTGTCCCCAACACAGAAAACTGCATGTCATGGATGTGAATTTCTGCGTGTGGTGACTCAGTGCTGCTTCAGGCAGGGAGAGCACCAAGCTAGACATTAGAAATGGGGCCGAGCCCTGACTGGTTTGGCTCAGTGGATAGAGCATCGACCTGCGGACTGAAGGGTCCCAGGATTGATTCCGGTCAAGGGCATGTACCTTGGTTGCGGGCACATCCCCAGTGGGGAGTGTGCAGGAGGCAGCTGATCGATGTTTCTCTCTCATCAATGCTTCAATGCTTCTAACTCTCTATCCCTCTCCCTTCCTCTCTGTAAAAAATCAACTATATATATATATATATATATATATATATATATATATATATATGTGTATTTTTTTTTTAAATGTACTAAAAAAAAAAAAAGTGGAGCTGAAGCCCAGGCCTAATGAGGTGACCTCAACATGTCTTTGTAGAATGCAGATAATACCTAAGAATGTGTTTAATAAAACTGTGCTCTTAAAAGTTATCTTTTTAAAGAGCCTTATGAAACAATCTTCCTGCACTCAGGAATAACATCTTTTTTTGCCTCAGAATGCTCACCAGTCAACAATATGTTGGAAAAAGGTCTTGTTCCTCATCATAGAAATAGCCTCCCAGCTACTAAATCCTTCTGCAGCTTTACCTAAGTTACTGCATGGACTTGCTTGAAGTATCACAGTAACCCCAGTCACACTGTAGGATGTTACCCTCTTTTCACAGAAGGGGAAATTGAGGCTTATAAAGGCTAGGCGATCTGGCCAAGGTCATGCGACCAGTCTCTCTGACCCTAAAGTCTTAAGTTGCTTCAACGACTAGTTGTTTTCAGATCTAAAATTGTGTTCCAGAAAGAACTCCATTGAGGTAGGGAAGACAAAAATCAAACCGTGATCATCTTTCAGCGTCTCCACATCAGAGCTGGGCAGAGAGCAGCCCCTAGTTGTTTTCAGATCTAAAATTGTGTTCCGGAAAGAACTCCATTGAGGTAGGGAAGACAAAAATCAAACCATGATCATGACCAGTCTCTCTGACCCTAAAGTCTTAAGTTGCTTCAACGACTAGTTGTTTTCAGATCTAAAATTGTGTTCCAGAAAGAACTCCATTGAGGTAGGGAAGACAAAAATCAAACCGTGATCATCTTTCAGCGTCTCCACATCAGAGCTGGGCAGAGAGCAGCCCCTGAGCGGGACCGGGGGGGGGGGGGGGGCCAGCGCCTACCTCTTGTCCTGTTCCCTACAGTTTGCATTCATCATCTAAACCAGGACACACTTGCTACACGCCGATTCAGAACTAAGTCATGTACATCTTTAAACATTGAGCAACAGCAGATTTCAAAAGACACTTAAGATGTATTGCAAAATGTACAGCATTTATTCACATACAGACAAAAAGGCACAAATTCTACTAAATAGTTCAACAAAAAAATACAGCTGTCCTCAACTAGTTTTATAAATACTTTCAAAAAGGGGGTAGAAATAAATACAGGATTGGGCCATGTCATATAAAATAGTCATCTCTACATATACTTTGTTTAATTTCTGATTTGTAACTCTTCATGCACCTTTTTTTTTTTTTTCAATTTTAGCTGAATGGACACCAAGCTAGGCACATAGTGAAAAATCCTCTGTACAAGGTTACAAATGTAATGACAAGTTTGTCCATTTGAAAATAATTAAGATTTGTACACAACACATATAACCCTTCATCGAGATTTTGTGTTTATAACCTAACAAATGACATTCCAGGCAACTTTACAAAAGTTTAACTAGCCTACATTTTGACATAATACATTGATCATAATCAAAGATACTTCTTGGTCAGGGTGCACAAGGAAAGATAAAGCTTAAAAAAAAAGAAAGAAAGAAAAGAGCAAATGGTAGGTCCCACACTTAGAAGTGTACATGGGGGGCCAGGGTGGGGGGTGGGGGGCGGGTTGCTGCTGATGGTGGCCTCGCAGACATCCCAGCAGGACAGAAAACTGACCTACAAAGCTATCATTACACCGTAACCGTGCTCTAGCCATTTGCATTTCAAAGCAGAAATAAAAAGTGGGCTTTTTATATTTTGTGTGTCTTGTTTTCCTTGGGCTATTTTTTTTATTTTTTTGTCTTATGTTGTTTTTGTTGGTTTTTTTTGGTTCAGCATAACTTGAAACGTTTGAAAGCTTTTCAACCTAAATGTGGGGGGAAAACAGGTAAGGCATTATTTTTGCACAAAACTAGCATTCCTAATAGTGCAAATGAATCTGGTACCTCTTAAAACGGTGAGAGGTCATACGCTCACTAGAATTTAGGTTTTCTTTCTATGGCTTGACAAATCCATCTCCTCTAACTCTCACCAGAGCTGTCACTGTGGTCCAAAGTTTAGAGTCCACCTTCTGTGCTCAGCAAAAGGTTTCTGCTCCTATGCAAAAAATCTGACTTTTAAATTAGGCTATGAGTGAAAGTACAACTTGGATTTGTAAGAAACTTTTATCTGCAGCAACAGCTTATCTGGACAACAGTCTTTCAAAACGAGCCCCGTAGCTCAAAAATAGTCCATCTAAACCTGGGTCATCCTTTCCCCTCCCCTGAATTAGCTACTACAATGTATTCAAAAAGCTTAAGACTTGGTCTGAAAATGTCATACATACAATGGGGATGCATCCGATCTACTATTTGATCATCTGACAAAACTTGCATAGCAAGATGGAATTCAATAAGCCTTGTTTGTTGTTGACAATCCTCTGGAAGACTTGAAAGTTAACCGCAGGACTCAAACCATTATTCATCGAGTATCAGAATGTCCCTGCCACATGGAAGCAGACGTGTAAATGAATCAGGAATCTGAATACTGATACCAGCAAACTAAGGGGCAATTTAGGGGAAGCTGGGCTTGTTCCAAGTGCCCATAATTCTAAGTCTCATTGCTATTTAAACCTTCCTTCTCTTAAGTTTGATGCACAACTACATTGAATTCCAAAGAAAATGAACAGGACCTTAACACTATTGTCTTAACACATATGCACTGCAGCCAGTGCAGAAACAGAACAGTGTACTCAAATTAATGCTAAATTTATTATTGCTGATAACTTACGAGTTATTGCCATTTGCAATTAGAAAGTCCCAGTTACCAATCAGAGCCTAGAACTGACTCCAGAAAACCTACTACACTTAAAACTCTTTCCTGTAGAAATTGGTCAATGGTAAGAGGTTATCGCAACTTATTGCCTTTCTATTTTTTCTAAAATATAGCCTATTTCACGTGTGATTTTTTTTGTTTGGGGTTTGGGGTTTTTTTGTGTGTTTTTTTCTTTTCCTTCTTTCCTTGTTCTTAAGGAATCTGTTCCGGTTGGGGACCCTGGGAAGTGTGAGTCAGCCGAGTCTGGAAGTTCCTTGCTTGACCGTGAATGACTACTGTATTGTTGGAGGCCAGCTGACCAGGGATTGCCAATGGCTAGGGAACCCCGCCCCCGCTGGCCCACAGGCAGCAGTTAGGGAAGAGGGTGTCAAGAGGACTGGTCAGTGGGGCCTCAGCTGCCCTCTCTCACAGACTTCCCAGTGACCTCGCTCTGCGCCGGTCCTCCCCCCTCCCCCTCCCAGGGCTGCAGGCTGAGGAGCCACATTCCCTTACATTCCAGCTGCCCCCGCTTCAGGTCCTCCAGGGGTGACCGTCAACGCTTCTCTCCTCCCACTGGGACATTACACACAAGTCCCCTCGAGTTCCTCAGGCCGCGGAGCTGCTGCCTACAGACTGCAATGCAACAAGAACAGCCTGGGGCCCACGGTGAACATGGTTTCAAACCCACCACCGTCCTGGAAAGTCAGTCAGGGGCTAGTAAACGGTACGTGAGGGTGTCTAGAACCATATCTGGTTCCGTGTATTCGGGGAACCAAGAGTTTGTGCTTTGGGAAGAATAAAAACTCACGAGGCTTCCGTAAGCCTCTCCCTCTTCAGAAACGCACCTCATTCATTCTTAGTGTTTAATTCCGCTTCTGTAGTGCGGTCACAGCCTACTCTTGTGTTTCCTCAACAAGTTGCAAATAACACACACTTCTCACGATGTATAAATGACTGAGAAAAATCCATCCTAAGACTAGTAATTGTGTGTCTCGATCAAGGAACTTGAGGGTCCGGCGCGGAGGTGGGTAAGCAACAATCCAGATACAAAAGATGTCCTCGCTATAAATCTGACCCTCCGAGCCAACAACTACTCTAGGGAAGTCTTACTTCTCCAGCGCTCCATGCCGAGACCACACTTACAGGAAGGGAGAATGCGTTGCTT